ATACTGAAAAGGACTGCCCAAAGAAGAAATAGGCAGCAAGGCCTAATGTTCCACTGAGGCCAAAGTCAAGAGCATTCCAGATGAACCTGGAAGCAGCAAAGGATGCATCAGATGTCGCTTCAGGTACATTTCTTATAAATTGATTGCCCGCCAATATATTGTTTGACTCTGGATAAAAATACTCCTTTATATCATACAAATTTGGTGGAAGACTAGAATTGCCTGTAAATAAACTTGATAATGTTCTAGTTGTAGAAGTTGTCAGTGGCAAATTCATACATGTTAGCGATTTCACTAAAAACATCATCACTGATTTAAACGGGAATAAATTCCATGCGGAGTTGTTTCCCATTGAGTTTAACGGTTCGACATCGTACTGGGAAGGGATTGGCTTTGTACGAATGATGTCGAGATATTATGCAAGAAGAATATGGTGAGAGTAAACCCACCTGTAAGAGAGTCATTTATGGTATACGGGGACAAACATATAGTGAATTTTGGAATCATTTCCCTGATGAAAGAAAAAAAATGTTTTTCTAAATGATGCACATCATACTTGGCATTTGAGATCGATGCAAAGAAACAGAAGAAAGAGATACAAAGAATACCAATGGTGTATAACTATCCGAAAGTCTTTCCCAAAGATCTTCCTAGATTGCCCCCTGATAGACAATGGGAGTTTGGAATAGACTTGTTGCAAGGATTGACACCAATAGCGAAAGCACCATACCGATTAGCACCGACAAAGATGAAGGGGCTATGATGCAACTTCAGGAGTTGTTGGACAACGGTTTCAGTAGATCTAGTTCATCACCTTGGGATGCTCTGGTGTTATTCTTAAAGAAGAAGGATGAAAGCATGAGGATTTGCATAGACTATAGAGAGCTGAACAAGGCAACAGTAAAGAACAAATATCCATTACCAAGGATTGATGATCTGTTTGATCAACTGCAAGGTTCGATCTATTTCTCAAAGATTGATCTTAGGTCAAGATATCATCAACTGAAGGTGATAGAGCAAGATATTGAGAAAACTGCATTCAGAATAAGAAACGAACACTAAGAGTTCTTGGTTATGTCATTTGGACTAACCAATGCTCCAGCAACATTTATAGATTTGATTAATAGGATTTCTAAACCATTCCTCGATAAATTTGTGATAATGCTCATAGATGACATTCTGATTTACTTAGAGAGACATCAAGAGCATGGCAAGCACCTGCGAGAAGTATTAGAAATTCTGAAGAAGGATAAGTTGTATGCAAATTTCTCCAAATGTGATTTTTGGATTTGAGAATTCCAATTCTTGAGACATGTGGTTAACCAGGAAGGAATAATGGTTGACCCAGCAAAGATTGAAGTTGTGATGAAATGGGAATGACCAAAAAGTCTGACTGAGATTTGAAGCTTTTTGTGATTAGCTAGATATTACCGAAGGTTTATCAAGGTTTTTCTTCGATAGTTGCTCCATTGATAGCTTTAAACCATAAAGGATCTACATATACATGGAGTGAGAAACATGAAGAAGCATTCGAGAAATTCAAGAACAACTTATGTGAAGCAACATTTTTTTCTTTACTTGACGGAGTTGAAGACTTCATAGTCTATAGCGATGCATCTGGAGTTGGGTTAGGTTGTGTTCTGACCCAGAGAGATAAAGTGATAGCATATGCATCTCGACGATTGAAAGAGCATGAATAAAACTACCCCACTCATGATATGGAGCTGAAAGCGGTAGTATTCACATTAAAGATATCTAAGCATTATCTTTATGGCACGAAGTGCAAACTCTTCACTGATCAGAAAAGTCTCCAGTATCTCTTTGATTAAAAGGAATTGAATATGAGACAACGGAGCTGGATAAAGTTACTCAAGGATTACGACTGCGAGATACTTTACAACCCTTGTAAAGCAAATGTTGTAGTTAATGCTCTAAGTTGAAAGGTAAAAATGGAAAGAAAAAGGCTGAAAGCGTTAAGAATAGAAGTTATCTCAATGACTATGGAAAACATCCAGAAAGATCAGGGAGAAGCTTTAAAGAAAAATGACCAAAAGGAAGAACGTTTAGGTAAAACGTTGGTATTCAGTACAAATAGTCAAGGGTTGAAGGTATTCTAATATAGAATTTAGGTGCCAAAGATGGGAGGATTTAGAGATCTTCTGATGGAAGAAGCTCACAAGACCATGTACTCGATTCATCCCATCAGCACTAAGATGTATATGGATCTGAAACCTTACTACGGGTGGCTGACGATGAAGCTTGATGTTGCAAAGTATGTGGCAGAGTGTGTAACGTGTGCAAGATTAAAAGCACAACATCAGAAACCATATGGGAGTTTAGAACCTTTACATGTACCTATGGGTAAATAGAAAGACATCACCATGGATTTTGTGACTAAACTGCCCAGGACGAAAAATGGTTACGACATGATTTGGGTGGTCGTGGACCGGTTCACAACGAGTGCACACTTCATAGTAGCCAATAAGAGGTGGTCTATGTACAAGCTTGCAAATGCTTACGTGAAGGAGATAATAAGACTTCATGGTGTATCATTAACGATTGTATCGGATCGTGACAGTCGTTTCACATCAAGATTTTGGTAGAGTATACAAGAGGAAATGGGTACAAAATTGTGTTGAAGTACAGTCTACCATCCACAGACTGGTGCTCAGAGCGAAAGAACGATTCAAACACTGGAAGATATGTTAAGAGCATGTACCCTATAATTCCAAGGTAACTGGGATGAGCATTTACCTCTGGTAGAGTTTTCCAACAACAATAATTACCATTCAAGCATTAAGATGACACCTTATCAAGCTTTGTATGGTTATAAGTGTAATACGCCATCTTGTTGGCTTGAGGACGGAGAAAAGCAGTTTATGGGTCCCGAAATGGTCAATCACACTGTTGAAAAGCTAAAAGTGATTAGAGAAAGGATGTTGGCAGCTAAGGATCACCAAAAGAGCTATGCTGGAAAAAAAAAAAAAAGCGACGACCAGTGACATTTAAAGTTGGAGATTCAATATTACTTAAAGTCTCACAATGGAAGGGACTTTTAAGATTTGGAAAGAGGGGAAAGTTGAGTCCAAGGTTTATTGGACTATTCAAGATTCTTCAGATGATTGGGAACCAAGCTTACAAGTTGGAATTACCAGAAGAACTAAATGGTATTCATAACACTTTCCATGTGTGGTATTTTAGGAAGTTCACGGGAGAAGTGCCCGATATAATTCCACTTTTGGAGTTAAGGATGGATGAAAATAAGAGTCTGAGACAATTGTTGACCGTAAGACGAAGAAATTATGATGTAAGATGGTCGACTTGGTGCTTGTGCAATGGAAACATTCGAATAGGCCGAACCTCACCTGAGAAACAGAGAGTGATATGATGAGCTGCTATCTACATCTATTTGTTGATGCATGATTCCGAGACGGAATCATCCTAAGGATGAGAGAATTGTAACGTCCGTGTTTCTAGGATAAGCATTATTATGATGATGTAATAGTTAGGGTCAACAATTGTAACCTATTTGATATAATAAAGAAGAATTGTGCGAATATTATGTATTTCATGATTATTATAATATAATATAATGGGAAAAATCAGTCGAATCGTCCGTAAATCGTAAAAAAAAGTGTGCCAAAACATATATATATATATATATATATATATATATATATATATATATATATATATATATATATATATATATATATATATATATATAAAGTACACGTCATTCAAATCCTAAAAATATAAATTTTGTCGAAATCTGAATCCGTATGAATTAGATATGATTTTTATAATGTATAAAAGTCAGTCGCGTACAAGGAATGTGTGACGTAAAAACTACGAAGAGAATGGTTGACTTTTAGCTAAAGTCACGAAAAATAAAATCGTAGTACTCTTTAAAATAGGAATTTTGAGAAACACAATGTCAAAAACGGAGTTCGTACGAAAGAGTTATGATTTTAGCAAAATCATTTACTTTATAAAAAATATGGACGAAAAATAAAGTCAAAATTAGCCAACGGATTCTAAATGAAAGTTGTAAATCTCGTCGATATCTACGCGTGGATATAAAGAACGTCAAAAATGGAGTTCATATAAAGAAGTTGTAACTTATAATGACGTATTTACGTATTAAAATAAAGTATAAATCATATATATGTTACATATATATACATATGTATATATCATTAGAAAAGTATCGACGATGCAGTCGTTAAATTTATTTAAAATAATATTATAAATTGGTGTTTAGTCGTTTAAGTAACTATAGATGGTGATTTTTAAAAACCACAACTGTTCTTCAATTTACTTTTAGAGGAAATTACCAAACTAACTCAAAACTTTAATAACTTATCCATTTTAGTGAAAATAAAAAATACTCATTATATATACATACTAATTCTAAAGTGGCACTTCAACAGTAATTACCTGTTATTGGCTGGAATTTTTTTTTTGGATTTTCATTTTCTCTTCCTTTATTGTCTTTTTTAGCTTAAAAAATCTATACTAATAAATAAAACTCATTTTCTGCCACATGTCATGTCCTTATTGATTTGGACACATGGCATTTTAATAGATTTTTAAAATTTACTTATTTCCACATGTAATTTTCTGATTTGTTCACATATCACAACTTATTTCGGTTACAATATTGAGAGAAATAAATGCTTCCTTGAAAAAGAATTGATATATTTACAATATAATAAATATCATAATTAATAAGAGCTCTAAAATTGATATTGATATTAAATATTGATTTTAAATTTAAAGTTTAAATATTGATATTAAATTTTTATTTTTAATAAACCCGTGTATTGATATTAAATATTTTTAAATATTGATATTAAATTTAAAGTTTAAATATTGATATTAAATATTGATTTTAAATTTAAAGTTTAAATATTGATATTAAATTTTTATTTTTAATAAACAAGTGTATTACACGGTTGAAAGTGGAATGAACACCTCTTCAATTCTCTGGATTACACATGTCTTCGTTTCTCAAACTCCTATCTACGTGTTTGTTTTCTTGCTCTTTCTTTTTTGCCATATCTACTTTTTCCACCGCTTACCTTCTACGTGTCTGTTCTCTTTTGCTCTTCCGGTTTCTTCTACCCTCCATACGCTCCTTCCAAACCACCGCCCTACTTCCCTCTTCCACCGCCCGTCTTCAACCACTGCACCCCCATGGTAATGTTGTTCGACCTAAGGAGTATTTGGACTATGATCTCACCGACGACGACAACGACGTCGGCCAGACCTCCACCATCAGGGCGCATCCACTACCTCTCCCTGACTTTGCGGTTCTGCTCAAACGCGATTCCTTCACTGTCTTCTACTTTCGTTCCGGTTTTGCATCGGCTGGACGGGTTGGAGCCGACCTCAACTGCTCCACAAACCCAGGTAAATCGAACCCACAATTATTCATTAGCTTTTAAAACAAACAAACCTCAGTTTTTCTTTCAATTTCGAATCAGATCCAATTGTGTGCTCTGCGATTTCAGTTTTGGGGTTAATTGATTCAAAGCAAAGTTTGCGTCGGATACACCGATTCCGGCGACAGCAGACGTTGGCGAGTCTGCCTCCGTTCACGGAGGAACCACCATGACGAACCTAAACTCATGACTTCATCTCGCATTCCCCACTGCTCTTAGAGGAAATACACCACCGGTCCACCATCGATTCTTCCTTATGGCCATAGCGACGCCGGCGACACCGATTCCGCCGACCTTTCATCGTCCTCTTCAACACCGAGGTAAATAACACATAATGTATGCTTTTATATGTAATTCCAGTTTTCCTGCCTATGAGTTACTTTATTCTGATGAATTTTGTTTATATTGATATACGGTTACTGCTCTATGTAAGAATTATTTACCTGTCAACCTAAATTTTAATTTTTTTTTTTCAGAGTACATCGACTATATCTACAATTCTAAACATCAGTATGGGGATATGCTTCTCTTCGGTTAGTTTGCTTTAGTCATTGCCAACTAATCTAATAACGAATCAAAGCACTTCACGTGTTTTTCAACAAAAAGGATATATTCATGTGTCATGAATTATGATGCCCTGCTTTTACCCCAACTTTATGATATCTCTGGATCACAATAGATGAGATGGATGTTGCCATGAAGAATATGATTCAATTTTGTTATATTATATATTGTTAACCTGAATCTGCTGCTTTGAGTTGTTGTGATAGAAAAGGTTAGATTTTGGGGTATGTTCATGAATAAAGATAAAGTGACCCCTGAAAATCATAGAAGATTCAGTGTTTTCCGTTGTGTTTTCCATTTTTGATAATAACCAAAACCTCAAATGATTCTTCTTGAACTATTTCTGATTTTCTAATTTGCAATTTAGAGATGGGGTTTGTTTTCGTTCATTTATTAATTGACAGGGTTCTTTTTCATCTTTTAGCATCCATACAAGTCAATTTAGTCATGTATAGTTCTAAATAAACTATGGATTTTAGTTTTACATCAAAGTGTATTGGATATGTCTCTCTTCTACTTGAGCACATGAATGATCCAATAAAGACATTGCCAAAAGCAAGGCATAAGGTGTTGGATTTTGAAAATGGCATTCTTTCTTATGTTTTCTAATTGAAGCCCACTAAATCTGCCTTGAATACCATGTCCACCAGGTGCTCGATGTAATGTCACTCTCAAGAATCACTCTACAAAATGTTTTTTCTGAAGTTTCATGACACATGAAAGGAAATAACTGGTGTCTTTTGGTCTTTGCAAGAAAACCAAGCAAAAAGGTAAACATAATAGCGTATGTTATCTTTAAATTGATCAGATTGTGAATGTTCATGAGATGAATAATACTTGGGAAGGACCTGTAGCTACCCTTACACGCTGTCGTTTTTATCATAAGATCTAATGAGGTTCTGAATATTGATATATGGATGTGTTAGGCAGAAATGAATCAAAGACCAGTATAAATGTACATATTCTTTTGTAGGTATTTGCCATTAAGTCCCTTAGCCTGGTTGTGGAGAAAACCAGAAGTCAAACTTGTAGGGCCTTGCAGCTTTGAAAAGGAATGGCTATGAACAAGAGTGTTAATCTTAGCCTTCGTGAAGAAAGAGAAAATGCAGGTTCTTTTGTGTTTCATGCATCATCTTTTGTTTTGTCATTTGTGTTAACATGTTAACCCTTAAAATGTTTTTTGTTATGTGCATATGCTGCTGCAGATGAGCTATGCATGGCAATAAAATAGGTGTTATGTGATAATGAGAAAGAAAGACATAAGTATGAAGAAGCATTGATTGCTATCACTGTTGAAGAAACCTTAAAACAGTTAGAGATTTCAACCTTTTACTAGACATAGGGTGATTCTGATTAGTTTTTTTTTTTTTTTTTAATAACTAAATTCAAGTTTTGTAATTTGTTAATAATTTAATTTAGTTTATGCTTTGTAGTTACTGTCAATGCATTGGACGACCAGAAGGTGAAAGAGAATTGGAGACAAGATGAAGGGCTTCTGAGGTATTATGGGTATTTAGAAAAAATACAGCTGCTGTTGAAGATGTTGAAAGGCACTGGGGTACCACTTTACCTGGTAAAGTATATATGGGTGTTTTTTTTACCATTCTTTATATAGTAAAAAGTTGGGTAATATTAAATAATTGTTTTTTTTTTTTTTTGGCTAAATCGATAAAATAATGGAAGTATTTCTTTATTTTTGCCCTTTCTCAATACCAGGTAATTAGAGCCATCCGGTCAGCCTACGGCAATGGGGCAAAAGAAGTTGTTCCTGAGCTTATTTGCCCGGAAAATAGAAAGTTTTTGGGCAAAGGGTATAAAGGTCAAAACAAGGGATTGTTTGATTATATAATTATCATAGTTTTGCGTGTATAGCGAAAGGTGCAAGTGAGGAATCGTATACAACGACTTTTGAAGTTCCTGATGTTGTAATGCGCTAGCATGTGTAATGTATGATCAGTTACATTTTTTTAACTTCTTTTTGGTTATTCAAGGAATTTGTGATTGTAATTATATAGGTTGGATTTCTTGCTGGTCAATTGTGGTCAATGTAAGGTAAAAAACATTTCGATTTTGATCTATTTGTGTAGTATCGTGAGTTTTTGAATGGTGTATACATATGAAACTCAAAGGAATGGTTGGTAGCTTAATTTTCAGTAAATGACAATTTTACCCCTGTGTTGGGAACTTTAATTCTGATTCATAGAATTGAAGTCTAAGCACAATCATATTAATTTCGATGAATTACTAAGCGGCGGTGAACATGAGTGCGTTTGTGCTACAGCAATACCTTCCAACCCCTGCAACTCCAACATCCGCAACGCAGGATTTTTTCCTAGTTTATCCTAAAAGAGCCCACGAAACCATAGATGATGAGGATTGTCTACGGTCAAACACAGTTTGACTACGGTTAACAGAAAATTTGAAAATTGACTACTATTTCAGGCAACAGGCTACTCTTACGTGGTCTGTCTACTCTTTCAGGGCCAATCGGCCCATATTATGGGTCAATCGACCCGTAATATATAATAGTTTATTTTTCTTAGTTTGGCATACTATTTTCTCAATGGAGTCTTCAAAAAACAACCATCTATATGTCGTTTTTTGCCGAAATGTTATCACAATATTGGTTAGAGTAGTTTTTATATGTATAGTTTCTTTTTTTTCAAAAAAAATCTTAAACTGTAGGCTTCATTCGAAATCTACGGTGTGCAGGTATACAATGCATGTGCATTGTGTACATGTATACCGTAAGTTTCGTATGAAGCCTACGTTTTTGAGTTTTTTATTTTAAGTTTTGAGTTAATTTGCTTGTAAGTTTTATATACATATATTATGGTTCACATTTAATGCTTTTTTTTCAAAAAAGAAAAAGGAAAACCGTAGCCCAACCAAGAAAATACCATAGGTAAAATAATACCCATGTTTTTAGTCCAAAAAATGAAAAAAAAAATTATAATAAAACTAAAATAAAAGACGAAAAGGTGAAACAGTAAGTGAAAAGATGAAATGGTAGACAAACCTAAAAGTCTACAATTTCAGAGGCTATTTTGAGACACTTACTAATTTTTAGTTAAAAATAAATAATTCATTAATGTTTTTGGCTAGCTTAGTAATTTTTATTTTGATGACAAGGATTGATTCCCATATGTCTCATTATATTTCTTTTAATAAGTTTAACAATCTTATAGATTTTTATGTAAATCTACTCGAAAATGATCTGAAGGTGACATGGCCAGGAGATCATTTGATAATTTGCCCTTCCTAAGTTACCAATGTTCGAGTTTCTTTGAGGAAAATGACATAAAAGTTTTTAAGTTTTTATAAAAATATCGGTTTTATTTTTGTACGTGTTTTAGGTCCAGTAAAACCAGATCTTTGTTTAATTCGTTCATTTATACCATTTTAGTTGATTTCCAGGTAACGTACCGGTTACCTAATGACAGTAAAGTCTTTAAGTTTTCAAAAATATTAGATTTACCCTTAAGTTATAAAAAAAACGTTTGTAATTACCCTTAATTTGATTATTATTATTATTATTATTATTGTTATTATTATTATTATTATTATATATGTTTAATACGTTTTTAAATGTATAAAAATATTTTTATAGATTTAAAACTATATTTACTTGTATTTAGTATTTAAAAATATATTTACTTCTATTTAGTATTTATATATATTTGAATGCTAATGTACGCCTTTAAAAACGTATTTATATATTAAAAATATATTTATTAGTATTTAGTAGGTATTAATATATATGTATTTCATATAAAATATATTGTATACAAATAAATATAAAAATATCTATTCATAACGTTTATATTGAATAAAAGATATAATTATATGTATTTGTACATATTACTATATATATATATATATATATATATATATATATATATATATGATATGTATTTATACATATTTATATGGTAAAATACATATAAACGAAACGTTTACTTAATTCTTTAGGTTATTCATCAACCAAAACAAAAACAAAATGGTGTTTGCTTACTAAGTATAAATATATATTTATTTCATATTTAAATGTATACGATAGTTTTAATACAAAAAAATATTTATATTATTGAATACAAATAAATATATCTATTAAATACAAATAAAAACTTATTTATACATTTAAAAACGTATTTATACATTTATAAATATTTTTATTTTTATTTAACAGATATCAACATGTATTTATTTTGTATAAAAACTATCATATGCATATAAATATGAAATAAATACATACTTATACTTAGTAATATGTACAAATACATATAATAATAACTTTTATACAATATAAACCTTATAAATATGTATTTTTATATTTATATGTATATAATATATTTTTATATGAAATAAATATATATTTATACCTACTAAATACGAATAAATATATTTTTAATATATAAATATGTTTTTAAAGGAATATATAGGCCTTCACATGTATATAAATACTATATATATATATATATATATATATATATATATATATATATATATATATATATATATATATATATATATAGAGAGAGAGAGAGAGAGAGGTTCAGGTGTTTTAAGTAAGTATTGTGTTATTGTATACATAAATATGGACCGATCAAAATGAAATAAAAAAATAAATAATTAAATAAATAAACAAGGGTATTTTAGTATTTTGATAAATAGCTTCCACAAATAGTCCCTATAATCATGCTTGCATTCACTTTTAACCTAATTTTTTTTCTTATATACAGCCGTTATCAGTCAAACACCTTCTTTCACTCTCTCCGTTCAACTTCGACTATATTACCATGGCTCCACCGCCATCCCCCCACCAGTCTCCAGATCGAATCTATCGTATTTCCACCATCCGTCAAGCCTCCTGGTGCAACCACCACTTTGTTCCTCGCCTGTGCAGGTATTAATTCCCATATTCAAATCAGTAATTAAACTCGATCTTCCACTGATAAAAAATCATGTCACTTTCATCTCTTCAAGTAGGTTTACAATTTTATTGTTAATTGGAGTTTGAATCATCTAAATCATGGTTTCTATCATGCGCAAGGTGTGAGAGGTTTGGAAATCGAAGGCAACTTCGTGAAGTTCACGGGGATTGGTGTGTATCTGGAGGATAAAGCTATTCCATCACTCGTCGTTAAGTGGAAGGGCAAAACTGCTATTGAGTTGACACATTCCGTTGAGTTCTTCAGAAACATTGTTACTGGTAAGCTTCAACTAATATTGTACTTATGACTCTGATTTGCTATTCCATGTTATATGAATAAATTTGTGCTTTGATTTTAGGTGTTATTAAGTGTTTACAAAAAAAAGTATAATTACAATAAGGGCAAAAAGTATAATTTATGCTTTGATATTAGGTGTTATTAACTTAATTACAAAGAAGTAGAAATAAGGGAAAAAGTGAAATTACAACAAAAGAAAAAATAGGGCCCAACCGGGTTCGAACCGGTGACCTCTTGATCTGCAGTCCCTTAGTCTCTTCCTGTGTCGATGACCAAATTCTTGAACCATAAAATAATAAAAATATTTAGATTCCAATAAATGTAGGTCAAAAATCAAGAACAATGAGTGATATTAATGAGTGGTTGTATTTCTCATTTACAGGTATACATGAAATCAAGAACAAGAATGTTATTGTTTTCTTGGCTGGGAACGAAACGAGAGATATCAAAGCAAAACATGGTACATATGAAACTTACAACATTCTACTAGAATGGAATTTTGAATTCTGATTATGTCATAATAGAATCTTGAAGATGAACATTGTATCAGATGAAAATAAATAATGACTACCGATTTTCCAAAAAGAATGGATTATTCTACCAGAATAATATACAATATAATGAAAAATATATATCTAATAGTATATTCTGGTAGAATGATATATATATATATATATATATATATATATATATAAGTGTAACATTCTTATAGAATATTATATAATTTTTTTTTCTTTTCTAAGAATGTAATGAATTTTTTTTTTAACTTTGTAATTAAAATTTGGTTATTCTTCAAAAAGTTCATTAAATCAAAATATATATTACGGCAGAATGTGTATTCTTGTATGGTTCAATTATATTTGTTATTTTTTAATATATTGATAAACACATTTCGTCAGAATTTCTGAATTAGGAGAATTATCATCCATACAATCAGATTTTTAAAATTAATAAAATCTATTTCCCTTAAAATATGCAATTTTTCTTTTTTAAATTTGTTTTAATTGACTAAAATACCCTCATAATGAAATTAGATGGTATTTTTTAATTATCTTTAATTTAATAATATGTATTATTCCTTTTCCAAAAATAAGTAAAATGATTGCTCCACAATGATTCATACATTCATACAATACTTAGTTTAAATAGAATAACCTAAGTCTGTATATATATATATATATATATATATATATATATATATATATATATATATATATATATATATATATAAGTATTTTTATATATTTAAAAGTGTATGTATAAAATATTTTTATACATTTAAAAGTTTACTGTATATATAATAATAATAATAATAATAATAATAATAATAATAATAATAATAATCAAAATAACAATTATAGTAAGGGTAAATCCGAACATTTTTTATGACTTAAGGGTAAATCCGAATATTTTTGATAATTCAAGAGTTTTACTGTCATTAGGTAACCGGTAAGTTACCTGGAAACCGGCTAAAGGAACAAATTAAACAAAATATCCTATTTTATTTGACCTAAAACACATCTAATAGTAAAACCGATATTTTTGTGAAAACTTAATGATTTTTATATCATTTTCCATTTCTCTTAACTTAACTTTTGTTATTTTTTCTCATTAATGAATCTTCTTCCTTTTTTTTATTAACCAACTATATTTATTCTTTATGTTTTTTTTTTCTTTCTAACTAATCAGTTTTTTTATTATTGTTTATTATAATATTAATGAAATTTATTTATATAAAAAAATTATATATTTAGGGACTCATTCTCCAAAATCAACAAACTGGCCCTCATAGTTATTTTATGAGTATACATTAATAAACATATCAGCTACATTGTTTTTTTGTTGAAATTCTTCAAATAAACTAACATAAACGGCATTTTGAAACAAGAGAAAGATGGTAATAACAATTTGATTAAAGAAAACATTGATTAGATTTATGGTAGGTAATAATAACAATAGCATAAATGTCATAAATTTTAGAACTAAAAAATGTAACGCATAACGACAAGAACCGGCGGAAGGTTTCCTTTGCCGACCATTTCGATATTTACATTGGCTTTTGCTAAATAATTTATAATTTTATATCACAAAAATATATTTGGTAGAAAGTGTTGCCACATTTTGTATAAGTATTTTTTTATGTTTAAAAATAAACTATTTACTTTATATATATTAGTCATATTTTTCTTGTTTAACTTTATTTAAAACAGCTAATACGTTTGATTATTTTCGGGAAAACAAAACGATTGGACGAAAAACATAGTTTAACAAAAACAATATTAAAATTTCAAATATTATCAATAATTTATATTAGGTAAATCGATCAAAACTGAAAAAAAAAAAAAAAAATTAGATATTATATTAGCATAGATATTGTAATGATATATATTATCAAATTTGATTATAATTAAACTAAGTAATTATGTTTTATTAGTTTGTCATTATCTCTAACATGCTATGACATATATACACAAACACACATATATACACAAACACACGAACAACTCTTACGTCGCTCTTATATATATTTTCGGTCAATCATAGTCATCCAATTAAACATCTTCATCAAAAGATGAAATATCTACTATATTTTGAGTTATGTGTTTCCTTTCTTAATCTCTTCCTATATATATCTGTAGTAGGGTTTGAAACCATTGATACCACGTTAGGGTTTGTATCAAAGCCACTCAATGAGTCCAATTTCATCATCCAAAAGCCATATGATGTTCCACTTGAGCAACGATACAGCTATTCCCATGGTGTTCATAAGCTTTGGGTGATCAAGACAGACAAACCTCATTCTGAAACTAGCAATACTAATCCACGTTCTGAGATCCGCATTCAAGTATTGTCCTCGTTTAATCATTTTTTTTATTTGATATGTGAATTCTATAAATGTTGAGTCCAAGAACATCTTCAATGCAATGAACCCTTTGGATTTTAATGTATTGTCATATTATTATTCTACTTTTCATATAATTTTATATTTTTTATCTCATAATGCATTAGACTTAACAAAGTTCAATGAAAATTTTATTTTAGAGTCTAAAAGTTTCATTTTCTTGTCGGAGAGTTTAATGCCAACATGATATCTCAATATAATTGAATATAGTCGCTCGAAGTAAATTGATACATACATTTTTGTTCTCTTATTTGAAGGGTTATGACTACTCTTCGGGTGTTTGGCAATTTGAAGCATATGGATATGTGCCATGTGGGACTACCGGGGTGAGTATCATGCAAGTTTTTGGATCAGCCCCACCCAACGCCACAACCACAATGCTAAGAGTATATAACAGTAGCCTTTATTATTACAAGGATCCTATGATCATTCGTGACTTATATAACAAATGGTTTCGTTTCAATGTTATCCATGATGTTGAACAAAACAACGTCAAAGTTTATGTGGATGGAGTTCTCAAGTATGAGGGATGTGGACACGGTGGAACATCCCATTATTTCAAGTGTGGAGTCTACACACAAGACCATGCTTCGTTTTATATGGAGTCTCGTTGGAAAAACATTAGAGTTTTAGAAAAATATTATTAGATTTTGCAACTCGTTTCAAAATTACATCGCCAAGTCTTCAAATTAGGGCTATGTATCTGAATGAAATTTTAATATCTTGTGTTGATGTGTATCTGTTGATTTCTCTTATTTGGAAACTTCCTATAAATTATTTGTGTTGATCTAAGATATAAAAAAAAAAAACGTTTGATTGAAAAAAACAAAATACTTTATCTCGGTCTATATCTCAAAATAATTTGATTAAAGAAACTTCTTGCCTAATTAACATTTCTCAAGCCATTGATAAATTTTTGAATCACAGTGAAGTTATTGGTAATTTACTAATATAACAACGAAATATAATTCATTGTGTCGTTTTAAGAGTAGTAATAAGTTGTTATGTCCGCTAATTTTGGTGCACATTGGAATGAAGGTTATTTTTTATTCACCTTATTTGTTTACTAATTAAGAAGTACTCTTGGTGATGAAAGAAGTGAGATAGACTCATAAAATTATAAATAATAGTTAATGAAATGAACCAATGTCAAGTGAATTGAAATTATGATGTGGAAGAGCTACATGTTTGAATCATGAGTAAAGCAGACTCCTGTTGAAGCGTACATGGAAGTGTAAGATAAGTATTGTTGTAAGTTAAGGTTACAAATGATTCACGATGATCATACAAAGCTATTATAAAGGTCTCTAAGTTTATCATGCAAAACTAAGTGGAGATCAGTTTAGAATTTACTACTTAAAAAACTTCCTCGACGTTTAAATCTCATAGCTTCAACATGGGGTTGTCCATTATTATAAAAAGTAAGTTTCTTAATACTTATGTATATTATGTAATACAAGTGGTTCGGGTTGTTTGGCAAAAACTCTCACTAATTTGGATTTGGGGTCTTGGAATAGGGAGTTTAAGATCTATATACATATACTTATTAGAAAATGGTAGAGGAGGTTTTTTACTTAGGAAATAATAATAACACCCTAACATTATATCACATGATGATTATCATATCAGATATGACATTAATTTCAATAATGTCAATGGTCTAGTGCATAAGTTCCGTCCAAAACACATAAGACTGGAAAGAGTGGGAGGGAAGCTTCCCTCATTTTTGGTGGGTCATACCCCTTTTTCTCTCACTCTCTTTTCCCTCACCTAAAAGTCAAGAAATAGGTGGAAAGCTCTTCCCTCACTTTTTTTTTATTAAATAAAATTAGTTTTTTTGTTAAAGAATTATAATTTTTAAATTAATACTAAACATAAAATTTAATTAAAAGTAAAAATCATTTCATTAATTAAAATAAAACTTACATTAAACCTAAAATATAAAAAAATAGAAAATTAAAACACACACACACACACAAACTAAAAATCAAACAAACCAACAACGACCTACGTAAAATATTTTTTCCCTCTTCTTCATCACAAGCTCGAGAGCCGGTCCCGAGAGATGATCGACGTTTTCCATCAAAAACTTCATGTCTTCCATTTCTTGTCTCTCCGCTCGCTCATTTTTTCTTGTTTCTTCTTTTTCTTTGTCAAAAGTCAAACGTTCGAAGAAATTTAGATTATATCGATCAAACGACGATGTTATCTTCCGCATTTCGTCAATATCTACGCTGAAATCAGATGCACTCAAAGAAGTCCCTTTTCCCTTTCTCTTCGCTTTGTCCCTCCCCATTGAGCGTTCAATTTCTTCTAGCTCGAGTTCGTCGTCCTGATTTAAATCTAAACCGACCCGAGCATTGGAGGAGGTTGTGTAACCACTAGAACCCGTTTTTGTTCGCTTTGATTGTTGTACTCCAAAAATATAATCCCGCTCGTATTTTTTCCACCTAGAACTTCGGACCAATAATTTCCAACAATCGTGGCACTTGAATGGTTTTCCGACTTCCTCAAGGTAAAACTGCAACGCTTCTTGAAGTATTTCTTCGATGCCTTGGCCGCTTTTTCGTTGGATTTTTAGGTTGTTGTACAACCCGTTAATTTTTGAAACCCCCTCTGCTATTTCTCGAAACTTCAAATTAAGTTGATGTTTCGCACGGTAGTCGTCACATTTTCCTAGCTCCTCTCGAAATTGTTCTAAAATGTGAAACCAAAAATGTTCTCCCGATTGTGCGTTTCCATGAATCGAATCTTCAGAAATATCAACCCAAGCTTTGACCAAAACTAGCTCTTCGTGTGGAACCCATGTTGTCGACTTTTGTCTTCCCGGTTGTGCGACATCCTCGCACACTTGTTTTTTCCCTTTACATCTTTGTGGTGGTGGTTTTGGTTGAGTTTCGGGAACCATGTCTTCTTCTTCCGCGTCATCCGATTCATCGACAAGTTGGTGGTGGTGTTGGGTTTGGGTTTGAGTTTTCAGTTTGAGTTTGGGGTTGAGGTTGATTTGACGATTGTTGATCCGGAAACACAACAAAGTTTGAAAACATTTGCGACGGAACATTTGGAACTTGCATCGGGTAATATTGACCAACATTTCGGTATTGGAATTGTAGTGGAGATTGAATGAGAGCATCGAGTTGGGGGCGGTAAACTCCTTGCGGGGATGAATCGATAGCAAAAATGTTGCGATGAGGGATATTTATACTCGAACCATGACTTTTTTTTCCTTCGATCGGAAGTTGGGGTTTGCTTGTCGGGATTCTTTTTTTTTTTTTTTTTTGATATAAAGTAGAGAGAATAGAGGATAGTGTGATGTTTTTAAGTTATATGTATATATTTATAGTAGTGGTAAAAGGATAAAAAATAAAAAAAAAAAAAAACAAAAGTAGCCGTTACAGCCAATTTTTTTTTTTTTCACTTCTTACCGTTGTTCAACAGTTGTTTTTCAACAAAAATAATAATAAAAAAAGGTCGGCCAATCGCAGCAAGAGAGAGAGAGAGAGAGCGGGAGAGGCTCCCCTCTCCGTTTCCCGCACAATCCCTTCCCGTGCCGACGGTGCGGTGTTCACCGGGTGGGAAGCTCCCCGCGCCCGTTCCGTCCGGCCTAAAAAGTGGAACTAGTCCTAACCAGGGTGCTACATTGACCATCACAGAGCCATAGAGAATCCATACATAATTACAAATAATATACTAAAAATAAACTCTAATTTCTTCTCTAATTCTAATCGTCAAAGACAAATACGTTAATAATAAAAATTCATGTTGGAAACTAAATCCATTTTATTTATTGTTTATCACTAAGTGTGAGCCCATGTATTACATGAGTGTATTTAAAACAATTAAATATGTCTAAACATTTGAGAAATTTGAATTCATAAGAAAAATATTGAATTACTAAAATTAAAGTGTTTTTTTTTTCTCTTTTAAATTTAAACAAATCATTTAAATAAAATAATCAAAGCAAATTAATGAGATTTTATTTTAAATTTTTAAAGTTATAAGGAAAGTCCATTAATGAAATTGATATGCATTTATTATTAAATTTAAATACCATATGAAATTTAATAAAATAGGAAAACACAAAATTACATATGGAATAAAATTTAATTCAAAATAACCACAAAATAATATGTGGCAAAATGAATGAGAGTATGACAAGTGGTAAAAAAAACCTTCATTTATTAAAGAAGATTAACATGGAATGGATGGTATTAAAACAATAATATGTAAAACAAAAATTTGTATCATGGGATACATATGTTTGGGCACAAAATAACATTTCAAATCATTATATAAATCCTTACTTTAAAATAGAATCCATAACCATTTGCTTTAAAACATACAGCATAAACCTTTAATTTAAAACGTACTTCATAAACATTTTCTTTAAAACATACTTCATAAAAATTTACTTTAAACTGTACTTCATAGCTTTTAGATATTAAACATAATTTATAGCTACTTTCTTTGAAACATACTTCATAGCTCTTAAAGATCAGAATATGTAAACACAGTTGTGTTAATCAAAATAAATCTTTGATTATTGTGAGAATATCACTCAAAACTCACGGTGTTTACAATGATTTCCGATGATCATAACTCAACCTAAAACAATGTATATATAATCCTAACCGACTTGTAATTAGATTTCAATTAGGAAACTAGAAACCTACTTGTTTATAATTTCCTAAAAACTAGGTTGCTATTACTTGGTCTCCAAGTCCTACTCGACTTAGGACTCCAACAATCACCCCCGAATCTCTAAGTCCTTCTAGAGAATTTTTCAACCCGATCCATATTTAGAATACAGATTCGTCGCTGTCGTCACGTTTCGAAAAATCACATTCTTATAATTTTTGGAGTCGTTCTGGACATTCTAAAGCAAAGTGACTAGGTTTGTCACACCGAAAACAAATCACCTTAGATCGGTCTTTTTTCCTATTTTTCCAATTCTTGCCACAACAACAATTACAATTTTTGCAATCGTTGGAATTAGAATTGGGCTCCTGATAGCTTCATTTTATTTACTTATTTTTATAGTTTATTTTAGTACATTTCATTCGCATTTTAGTTAACTTTCATGCATATTTTCCCTTTTGTTATTTTTATGACCATTTCGGGGTACTTTCTAGTTTCTTGAGCATTATTGCAGATTTTCTTGGAAACTAGCGGGGCGGCACTCTTGCGAGGCGATTGTGCTTGAAGGGAATTGGAGATTTCATGCTTGATGGCTATGAAGGTGATTCATGGGGTGGACTTGTCAATTGCTTGAAGGCTTGGAAGAATTGAGCTTTAAATTTGAAAGATGCGGGGGAACATTCAAGCGTATGAAAATTATTAATCGGGCGAGTTCACGAGCTTTGGAGGATTTAGAGAGGTCAAATTGGGCTTTAAATGAAGAAAAACTTGAAGAAAATGGGCTAGGAGGTGATTGGATTCGATCTGGGCTAGTGGGATATGCTCTAGAGGCCCAAAATCTCAAAGAAGCCCATGTCAGGCACCACCCGCGCAGCAGCACGCGGGTCGCGCAAGGCCCTGCAGGGGCAATTTCGGAAATCCTTCTTTTGAGCTATTTGAGGAAGGTTGGTGCCCATCTTTTGCATACACTTGCACATCCGATTTTTGAAGATTCTCTCTGGAGTTTTGG